ATTGTTAAAAAGCAAACAAAAACAAAAAAGCAAATTTAGGGTTGCCGGGGGAAGGGATAATTAGGGAATTTGGGAAGGTCATGCACACACTGCTATATTCAAAATAAATAACCAACAAGGACCTACTGTATAGCACGTGGAACTCTACTCAATGGTATGTGCCAACCTGGGTAGGAGCAGGGTTTGGGGGAGAATGGATACATGTATTTGTATGGCTGAGTCCCTTCTCTTTCCACCTGAAACCACCACAACACTGTTCATCAGTTATATTCCAATACAAAAAAAAAAGTTTAAAGTTTGGGGAAAAGAAAGAACTATCAACAAAACCTACTAAAAAAAATGAAAAAAACAAACCAACAACAACAACAAAGAATAGCCCCCACAAAATCCATATTTCTGTTCTCTCTTAAAAATGAAAATCAGATCTATCCACACTGGGCCTACACGCCCTTATGGCAACTGTCAGCTGCCTCCAAGCCCTGCAACCACCTTTGGGTACAGCCTAGGCCCTGTTCTCTCTGCTCTCACAGCCTTCTCCCCAACTCAGAGGCTCACTTCATTCATCTCCCTGCTTGGCTCCAAGAGGCATTTGAATGTGAAATCCCTGCCCAACTCGATTCTCTTTGGTTTGTGATATAAAGCCAAAGCCAAATAAATAAATTTGAGGCTAGTTTGGCCACATGGTGGTGGAACTTACAGTATGCCAAAGAAATGAACCAGGATAGGTCAGAACTGACCTGGCAGTGGTGGCCGTGCTGTCTCTGGGGCACTATTTGAGCAGCATTAGGAGACCTTCTCCATGGGCCTGTCAGCTGGACGCCCTCCATGAGATACATGTCCATTTGGACTTTTCGGGACACCCATCTTCAGGGATCCCATTTTACAATGTGAAAAGCCTTAAAAGAAGATGACTGTACTTTTTCTTCGATGTGATGTAACAGAGAGGGAGGCTAGAATGGGCTGCTGGTGTCGAGCGCTTGGTGTGCTAGTTGTTATGCGCCCTTAAGAAAGGTGTTTCAACATCAGGACTACTGATGCTTTGGATCAGGTCATTCTTTGTGGTGGGGGCTGTCCTGGGTATCATAGGATGTTCAACAACATCCTTGGCCTCTACACACCAGATGTCAGTCACATCTCCCCAGTTGTGAGAACCAAAAACATCTCTAGACATGGCCAAATATTCCCGGGGTGGAGGCGGGTGGGGGGAATGGGAAATCACTGTCCATTGATAGCTACTGTCTTAAGCTAACCATCTAGCCACCCTGAAGCTTACTTAATCTGTAAAATAGGTTCTAATTCCTGTCCTTGTGGGGTTGTTGGGAGGATAAAATGAGATGAAGGATTTACAAATGCTGTGTCAATCACAGTTTATCACGTATCTGTAGGGATGGGTTGCCATCACTCATGACAGATTATGAACAGTCAAGTCTTCCAGACTGATATCAGAGATGGCGAATAGGATTGGGAGCTACAGAACAGTATAAAACAACTAATGAAGGATATAGAGCATCAGAACATGCCTCTCAGGGATGTATGATATGTAGCCCTAACCTCTGAGGCTGAGATATAAGAAAAGCACCTCCCACCAGCAGTCAGTCTCTTCTTCCTCACATTCATTCCTGGTCATATAACTATCACACTAGTAAAAAACATCCCATGGTTCTCCATGGCTGCCAGAAATTCAGCAGCTTCCAAATCCTGACCCTGCTCTCTCTGAAGTCTCACATTTCCCTACCTTCTCTTTCTAGTCTGTACCACTGGCTCCGGGCTCATGGACCATATGGCGTCCTCACCCGCCCTCTGCCCTTGCAGGTGCTTTTTCCTTGGCTTGAGGTCTTCCCTCAGCCCCCACTTTCTGCCTGTCATTGCCTCCTTAGCAGCTCAGCATTTCTGAAGCCCCGCCGGCTCCCCACTGACAGACATATTGGTCACTTCCTCCCTCGCTCCCCCGTGTGGAGTTTACATCTCTATTAGAGCACATTCATGGCCACCTTGGATGAAAATTGCCTGGATTCCTCTGTATTCCTCTTCCACCACATTCACCTGCCTTGAGGCAGAGTCTGTGTCTGATTCCTTTCCATAACCCCTTCACCTGACTCCCTATTGGACACAGAGAAAGTTCTCCATCAATGTTTGAGCTAGAAATAGGATAAAGAGTTGACCCTAAGTGTAATTTGACCTAGATGCCCAAGCTTGAGATATGTAAAGCTCCAGCTTTATCTGATGACTGAATAATTATGTATTTAATAGGCCAAGGAGAGCTGCTTGACCATATTTGAGCAGGGCCATGACACAGTTAGAGCTATATTTTAGGAAAATCCATTTGACTATATGATTTATAATGGTCATCGAAAATGCATCATTTTGACTCCTTTAAGTTCCTCTGCCCCAAAGTAAGCAAAACAAGCCTTACCCATTACAGGTAGACATTGAGGTTTTGCTAATTAAACCTTGCAAAGGGCTTTGAGATCTTGCTCAGAAAGGTGACAGAAGTGTGACGCTTTCGGTGACAGCCTAATTATTATTATCACCAAGCACGAAGCTCAGAAGAACTCAAAAGATCCCCAGATACCATTCAAAATAGTAAGAGACAAAAAATGCAATTGGAGAACTTTTAAGATGGAATCCTCGCATCACAGACTCTTCCTGTTGTCAGAAACCTGAGAGGGCTCCTGACCTGTTCTCACACCTTCCCAGGCTGATAATGACACTACTTCTATGCCCCTGCCCAGTTCTTCCTGCTTTTGGAGTCTGAGGGTTAACAGCTTGGGCCTGATGGTAGTGTTTCTTGTGTTCAAATCCCAATCTTTTCCCTGTTGACAGTGAAACCAGGGTAAATGATTAGGCCTCAGTTTCTTTACCTATAAAATGGGGATTTGATCACCTGCCACAGGCATTACTGAACAAGTAAATGATGCATGCCACACTGCTTAGTAGGGTACCTTGCTGTTGTTTAGCTGTTAAGTTGTGTCTGACTCTTTTGTGACCCCACAGACTGTGGCATTCCAGGCTCCTCTGTCCGTGGGATTCTCCAAGCAAGAGTACTGGAGTGGGTTGCCATGTGTCCTCCTCTGGGAGATCTTCCTGACTCAGGGATCAAACCCACATCTCTTATGTCTCCTGCATAGCAGGTGGGTTCTTTACCACTGAGCCACCAGGGAAGCCCAGTATGGTACCTGGCCCATGGGAAAGAATAAACATTAGCTATAAAATCACTTGAGGTAATTAATATATGTGAAAGTGCAGAGGAAATCATAAAGCATCCAACGTCTAAGTGGTTCCTAGTTTAGGGGCTCCATGGAATACTCAGATATTTCTTGCAAATCCCAGCCTTTGTAGCTGTCCTGTGTGTGTATGTGATTATGTAATCTTGGTGAGGGAAGAGAGGAGTTTTTTGATAAAATGGCCTAGTCAAGTGGCAAAGCAAAACCAGGTTCAAAGTCTATTATTCTCTCCTGTTCTAACCGAGGAAAAAATGTGGTTTCCTTTTCTTGGATTTTCAACTGTTTGGGTGGGAGTTCTGACCAGAACAGTGGGCAAATTGCCCAGAGCATTCAAGTTCATAGGTCAAAGTGTATGCTGGTGCTGAAGGTCCAGGTTCCATCTTAACAAATCTATGTCTTTACTGGAGCCTTGTTTGTTTCTTTTTTTTTCATGGACACTTCCCAGGGCTGGTGTAAGGAGAGAGCGAGGTAACCCTGTGAAGTTGCTTCAGAAACTGTAAAGTGCTCTGTGACTGCTCAGACAACTGCTATGCAAACTGCCCTGAACACAGCTGTCTTCTTTAGGGACTGCTTTGGCAGAAGCCCCTGTCCAGCAGGGTCTAGGGAGTTCCAGTTTACTCTAGACATGACCAACATCCAGAGATCACTGAAAGAAGCCTGGCTTCTCTCACTAGAATCCCTGCAAAATGACTCATGTAATTGCTCTGTGTAAGTATCCTTAGCCTTTATTGTACACCCACAAGATTCGGATGCTGTAGACTCCTGTGGAATGCAGAGGAAGGGGGAAGGGAGCTCATTTAAAATGCAGAGGATTGAACAGACCACCAATCCCACTTGTAAAGGCAGAAGGGACCACTGAGTGCCCAAGTCAAGACACCTGCCAATCATTCCAGACCCTCAAGTCTGTCTTTCTAGCATTCCTCCCAGCGTGGGGACAGGGGTGGTGGGGGAGCCTCTTTCCTTTAAAGTTCCTAGCAGGGCTTTCTAGGGTCTTCCCCTCAGGAATTAGTTGTAGGAATAATTGGGCCAGTGGAGTGCAGGAGATATATCCAGCACAGCTCTCGCACTCCTAGAAAAGTGACCTAGATCAAGCAGCGGGTGGATGCAGGACTACTGTGGGGACCCCCTGCCACCTACTGACTTACAGTTGAACCCACATTCCCAGTGCTTCGGCTGGCTGGGGGGCTGGGGGAGGGGGCAGAGAGAGCTGAGGAAGGCGGGGGAGGGTGAAGGGGACTGGTAGGGCTGTCCCTTTCGGGAGCAAGCTCCAGGTATCACACCCCCTCACCCGCCCACCCACCCATCAGCACACCCAGCCAGGAGGCTCAGGTGAGGATGGGGAGGCAGGGGGCCCTGGGGAGAGGAGGTCAGCTGCGGATCCAGGGAGCTGGCTTGCTGGTGGGTATTAGCATAGAGCTGGCTGCCTCTGTGAGAGTGAGGGGGAGAGCGAGGAGCAAGGGAGGGAGCGAGAGGCAGGCGGCGAGGAGAGCAGAGCAGAGCAGAGGGGGAGCGGCGCTCAGCTCGCGGGAGGACAGGCTTCTCTTTGCCGTGCTCAGTTAATCTGGCTGTCAGTCGGTGTTAACGCTGCAGTTTAAGCGCTCCGATTCCAAGGGAAACAGACAAACCTCGCAGAAGGCAGGCAGGAAGCAAGCGAGGAAGGAAGGAACGGCAGGAGGAAAAGAATCGGCAGAAGAGAGAGAGGAATAAAGGGAAGGGGGGGAAACACCAAATCTATGATTGGACCTGGGCTTCTTTTTCGCCAATGCAAAAAGGAATATGCAGCACATTTTTGCCTTCTTCTGCACCGGTTTCCTAGGCGCGGTAGTAGGTGCCAATTTCCCCAACAATATCCAGATCGGTGAGTGAGAGGGGCAGCCTGGGGTGGGACTTCATGGGTCTGGCCAGTTTTTTGAGGGGGAGGGGGTTTGTGATCTCCCCCACCCCCACTGTGGGCTGCTGTGCTCGGCTATCTACCCCACGCTGTCCAGCAGTGAGGTGAAGGCTTGGGTGATGGTGTGGGGAGGGGGCTTCTCTGGATGGGATACCGGGCAGGGGCAGAGAAGGAAAGTGTGCTCTGTCTCTCCCTCTCTCACACACACACAGACACACACACATACACACAGGTCCTCACACACCACTCACACTCTAGGCATGAGCATGTGAAATGGAGGAACCACTGCTTTGGAGAAAAAAAAAAAAACAGTCTCTCACAAGGAAAGAGGTGGTAGGTGTTTAAAGAGTTAACTCCATGGCTTGGTAGATGGTGCCTGATTTCATTTATTCATATAAATATGTGTGATGTGTGTATTTATGTGTATGATTATGTACTAAATATACACATTTATATTTGAGAGAGGCAGTGATTTCTCCTCTGGGGGAGGGGAAAGAGACCCTCTAAAAGAAGGAGTGAAGGATGCTGGGTTCATTGCATCCACTAAAATAATCCTAAAAAAGCCACTCCCCACCCCAGGTGAAGGGGGCTCTCTCTCCCGCTCTGGACTCTCCTCACCGCCTCTGTCTGCTGTCTGCCATGCTGGGCTGAGGGTTCCCGCTCCTCCAATTCTGGAACTTCCTAGTCTGTTTTTCTCCCCCTACTCCTCCAATCGCCCACTCCTCTTAGATTTTCTGTCCACGAGATGGTCTGCTTTTTACACACACACACACAAACACACATCCACATGTCCTTCTCCCCTCCTCTTAGCTCTCCCCATCACTGAGCTCCAACCTCGCAACTTGGAGGCAGGTTTCAACATGATGCCGCATGCTTGTTTTTGTTCCCCATTTCCCTTTCCTGGTTGTCATGCTTCTCAAAGAGGACCCCCACCCTCCCTGAATTTATGGGACAGCGGATAGATACTGCTCCTCCCGATAATAACGGGTGAAAGCCAAACAAACAGGAGCAATAACACCAATAATGACGTGCGTCCACAAGGGCTCGGGATTTCAGTATGACCAGCATCTCAGGGCTGTTTGTGTCCTGCAATCCAGCAAACTGCTTTGCTTAAATGCATCTTTCTGGGTCTGGGTTGTTTACTCTCCCCAGATAGGGGTAAGGCTCCACTAGGGAAAGTTCCCATTCCTAGGAGTTTGTGTTCCTTGTGAGCATGTGTTTGTGGGGCAATGTGCTGAAGGAGGTCTTTTGTTGGGCACACATGTGCCGCTGTACTCTTTTGGCCTCTCCAGTGGGCTGGCTCTGAGGGTAGCTGGAACAGCCGCGGAGCAACTTGCTTTGTTTCCTGACACCTGTTAAGCTATATCCTGAAGTGTGTCTGTGTATGTGTATTAGTGCCTTAGACCTTAGACGCAAAACAAAACTTCCTGCCTCCGGAGACACTTCTCTTAGAGCCCAGCCTATAGCCACCTACCTCCCCACCCCCACCCACTCTCCTTCATTCATTGCAGGGGAGGAGGGAGACTGGGAAGTGTCTGGGGTGTGGTCATCTTGGGGGGGAGGGTGGAGCATCAGAATCAAGAAGGAGTTTTTTGTTTTTACTCTTTAAAATGGAGGCATATGACCATGGGTAAATCATTTGCTCTTACGAGTGGCATTCTTTATGCTGGTACTTATGTCTTACCCATACTTTGCTGATTAGAAATACTTGTCTTAAGATATGTGGACTTGCTTTCTCCAAGTGCATCTGTGTATACTGCCATGGATGTAATAAATGCACGAGATGTTTTGTGTACATATCTATGGTATGGTTATTTATGTATCTCTGCAGATTTTTCATCATATTTAGCCTCAATTTGATTTCAACTGATTGAACCATTGTTTTTGTTTTCACATAAAAAGGTTGAAATGTTAAGTTATAGAACACACACTGAAAATATCACTGTCACCAGACAGTACCTCATTCTACTTGCACTATCTCTAACAAAAGCTTTACAATTTATTTATTGGTTGTTAAAAACAAACACACATTTCTACTGTATAAGAAGTTAGAAATGCATCATATTGGGATTGGGATTCCTGAGGAATCCGAGATAAACTTCTATGTAAACACTCACTATAGTTCAGTCTCTGGAAACTGCTGATTTCAATTCATAGAAATGCATTTTAATTTATTTACATGTCGACCGTAAATACGAAGGTAAGGTGTGTACTCATGTTGCTTGGAACAGGAGCCCTACCAGGCACCTCTGGTTCTGCTTTTTGCTAGAATAGAATGCTAGCATCCTCTGGACATTCCTAAGCCCCCACATCTTCCAAGTCCAAGGTGTTACCATGCAAATACACACAATGGCAACCCCTTATGTAACAAGTCACTCCTCGGATCATGAGTGATGAAAGAAGCAGCAAACACTCTGTGCAGATAATCAAGAGTTTTTCAGAGGAAATGAATAAACTGTAGGGGACTGGCAGACAGGTCTTGCCAGGTCAAAGACTACAAGGGTCAAAGTCAAAGAAAGGGTTATAGCACTGGAGAAGCTTACAGGATCCCAGGGCTAGAGTTCACTCTGCAACACGCATTAATACTGCTTCCTTTATGGCTCTCTAATGAGAAATGGGTCTGATACAGGAAAAATTAGACACGGCTAGGGTTTACATGCATACAAGAGCATAGGCTGCCTAAGTGGTGTGCTTTAGAGACAGGAAGAAGAGAAACTTCACAATTCTGTTTTCTCTGACCTGAACCGAGTTGAGGGGTGAACAATCAAACCTTTGGGCAGGATGACAGATAATTAGAGGCTTTATCAATAAAAGCTCACCTGTAGAAGTTGAAGCCCCAGGGTCTAGTTGAGTCCATGTGAATTCTGATCCCCAGAATCAGTCAACAACTAGTGACTCTGACCTGGGGAGAAGAAATGGGCCCATCAGAGGTGGGCTGTTGAGGAATCAAACTTATCTCTAACCCAGATACCATGTTGCATTTTCTTTCTCTGCAGGGGGATTATTTCCAAACCAGCAGTCACAGGAACATGCCGCTTTTAGATTTGCTTTGTCACAACTCACAGAGCCCCCGAAGTTGCTCCCCCAGATTGATATTGTGAACATCAGCGACAGCTTTGAGATGACCTACAGATGTAAGTAAATGCTTCTATTTCTGAGATTTCTTTCGGCGATCGACCATTAAAGGGAGGGCCTGTACATAGCAGGTGGTGTTGCAAAAACATTGAGTTGTCATCCCTTGTCTTAAGAGAAAGCACTCCAAGAAAAACGTCCAGGGCCTTTTGAGTGATTCTGTTCATTGATACTTGAGATCCTGCGGTGTTTCATGAAATGGGTTTGCATTCTTGCTGTCAGCTAACTTTGAATGCCAGCCTGATGGGTACTGGGGTTGACTGCATCTCCCCTAAACTCACAGAGGTTTTCTGGTTAACTGGAGAGTTTCACACATAGGAAACTTCTGAGAGGCGTAGAATGAAAAGTTCTGACTTGGAGAATGTGGTTTGCAATACTTATGTCCGTCCTGTGCACAGTTAAAAGAAAATGCCGCTAGATAAGAAAGGATACCTGAGCTGTCTATTTTGTTTCCCATTTTTAGAAAGGACCAATATTTATTTAAAAATTTGAAGCCTACATTATTTCCAAAGTGTTTTGAGGTGACTGATGGCTTACATAGTTTTGGGATGGTGTTTGAGCACAAAAAAGAACAGAGGTGACCTCAAGAAGGAGAAAGTGAAAATGAGGTTGTTCAGTTCTGTCTGACTCTTTGGGACCCCGTGGACTGTAGCCCACCAGGCTCCTCTGTCCATGGGATTCTCCAGGCAAGAATACTGGAGTGGGTTGTCATTTCCTTCTCCAGAGGATCTTCCCCACCCTGGCATCGAACCCAGGTCTCCTGCATTGCAGGCAGATGCTTTACCCTCTGAGCCACTAGAAGCCCAAGAAGGAGAAAGGAGAGATGAATTTCAGCCATCTGAAGTGAATGCATTTTAAAATGTGGGCAACAGACACCATTCTGAGTTTTTCTTGACTACCGGGTGAAAAGGAAACCTGTATGGTGGCATGACTGCCATTTTAAGACAGGTGAGGGCATAAACTTTAATCAGTAGTGACATTTTCCCTCCAGGGATTAAGCTCACGTGGGAATTGATGACATAAAAGTATAAACTGAATGGGCAAGAACAACTTAAAACTGGATTAAATTGGCACTGTAGGCTCTGGGTGCCACTGTGGCCTTGGTAGCTTGTGGATGGCAGAAGGCATGTACCATATTCCTTCCGTCTCTTTGCCACAGTTCCCCTCTTGACAAGCTCTCAGTGATTTGAACTGAACATGCCTTGAAGGCTCAGAGAATTCGGCATTCTCCCTATTCCTAAGAACACTCAAAAGACAATGTATATGGAGATTCCAAGAATTTTAATTATTAATCCAACAACTGGAATTATTATTATAATTACTCTAATTACCCAGCCATAAAGAAGAATGAAAGAATGCCATTTGCAGAAATATGGAAGGACCTAGAGATTATCATATTAAGTGAAATCAGAGAAAGACAATCATATGATATCACATATATGTGGAATCTAAATAAATTATGTAAATGAACTTATTTAGAAAACAGAAACAGACCTACAGACATAGAAAACAAACCTATGGTTACCAAAGGGGAAAGTGGGCGGCGGGTGATAAATGAGGAGTTTGGGGTTAACAGATACACACGACCATATATAAAATGGATAAGCAACCAGGATCTACTGTATAGCCCAGGGAACTGTATTCGGTATCTTGTATTAATCTATAATGGGAAAGAATTTGGAAAAGTATATATATATATATATATATATATATATATATATATATATATATACAGCTTTCCTGGTGGCTCAGTGGTAAAGAAGCTGCCTGCTAATGCAGAAGACACAGGAGACGCATGTTCGATCCCTTGGTTGGGAAGATCCCCTGGAGAAGGGCATGGCAACCTGCTCCAGTATTCTTGCTGGGAAAATCCCATGGACAGAGGAGCCTGGTGGGCTACAGTCCATGGGGTCGCAAAGAGTCGGACCTGACTAAGTGACTGATCACACATATACATGACGTATATGTATATATGTTTGTGTGTGTGTGTATGTATATATATGAATCTCTTTGCCATACACCTGAAACACTGTAAAGCAACAATACTTCAATCAAAAAAATTATCATTATTTGAGATTTCATTTACTGAGGACTTACTGTATGCCAACAACTATTTTATGGACAATTATAATAACATTCTGTACATTTATTGAGCATCTACTATGGCCCAGTAATGCACTAATCACTTTTCATGTGTTGATTTATTTAAGTTATTTTATTTAATCCTCACAGGATCCCTACAGTGCTTTATATTATTAATATCTTCCTTTTAGAGAAGCTGAAACTAAGGCTGCAACAGGTTATACAACTTGCCCAGGGTCACCTAAAAAGTAAATGGTGGTCTTGTGAGCCCAAGGTCCTTGTTCCTGGACACTGTGATAGATACAGTTTGCATAGTAACTAGATCCATTTTACTGAGATTACCCAAGAAACAAAAGGGAGCATTCCGAGTCTTTACAAGCAGTGACCTGATAAAGCACCTAAGGAGGAAACTTTAAAAAGCTTCAGATTGTAGCTACGGTTTTGCACAGGAGTGACTTGCTGAGTAAATAAAATAGCAATTCTACATTTTGGTAATGTTGAAGTTGAAAATCTTGTCAACTGTGTTACTCATTATCCTTGAAAAAGAGCTGAAGTTTAATCGGTGAATTGTAGTTCTGTGAAACCATCTCCCTGGAAAGCTAAAATAATATTGAATAGGTATTTGGTTATTAGACAACCCCTCATTTCTTTCAATATGGATTAAAGGAGAATTTTTAAGGGGAAGATTTAGGTGTGGTCATCAATGTATCTAAGAACCACCAGAGATTATGCATAACCTTTTGCATGTATGTGCCTATGCTTATTTATTCTCTGGACAGAGGCTCCATAGCTTTTGTTATTCTCTCAAAGGGGTCCATTACTCTAGAAGGACTGCAAGCTTAGGGAATTTGGAAGAATCAATGGCTGGCATGTGCATTCACTCACACTGCTGAGAACTATCTCTAGCAGAGCTTGGTGGAAAGAGATGTTAACTGTTATTCTAGTGTCAAGATGTTGACTGACAGGACAACATAATACAAGATAAAAATTGGAGGAATGTTCTAAGGCAAAAGGTGATGCTTCTGTACTGTTATCTTAACTACCTAAGACTTGATCTCTAATAGGGTTGCTGTCCATTTACTAAGAGGATTGAAATGTGATCAGGGTATTATCCACTGTGGTTAGTGATCCTGAATCAAGTAGATCTGGGTTTTTCAACTTGATTCCTGCCATATACCAGAACAGAGCACAGGTTTCTATGAATTTGGTCATTCTTTAAATGTTATGAACTGATACGGTCATTGGAAAAACAGAGATGATAAAAGATTTTTGTTCTCGGTGGTTTGCAGTTCAGTGGAGACACTGCTCAAGGGATTGCCTGAGAAACAGTAATGCTATTTTGTTCTTAGACCTTTAGTTTCTTCTCTTTAGTTCCGGGAACTGAGATGGTACGGCAACTGGGGTGGTCATGGTGACATGGTAATTCCCAGCCTGCCTGGAAGATTCTCTGCTAATTATCATATGAGATTAGGAAACCCTCTGGGGCTGTGCTCACTGTGATTCACTAGTCTGGGAAAACTGACTTCTACCCCAATTTGGATTGAGTGAAAAATATTGAAAGGAGCAGAGAGGTTTTAGGTACAATGCCTTAACTAATAATTTATTGAAAACAGAAAAAAAAACCATGATATTCAGATTTAATTTCATGTGCTTTTTGATATCTGGACTAGTAGTTAACTTTAAATTAACTATCCCAGTCTTACCTCCAGAAAATAACCAAATCTTTATTTTTTCACCATTTTTCCAGTCATTTGATTGTTTTCCTATACGTTTTGCTATTCATGATCCCTCCACCAGAGGGTGGAGAAGGGAAAGGAGAGGGAGTGTAACAAGAACTATGCCTGCTAGATGTATTAGCAACAGGAGACTGCTTAAAAAGGCAGAATGGTGCTTAGAGTAGGGGATGTGGGAGAAACTATTGCTAATACCTCCAGCCGAGAAGAGAGTTCTGCATCTTCTTCGCATCCCATCTTTCCTGCTCTCCTTTTCTGCCATCATTAAGGAGTAAAGTCACTGAACCGGCAGCCCAAACGCTTTAGGGTCTCCTCTGAGGACTCTGTTAGGCCTCCCAGGTAGCACCTGGTGGGCTACAATCCACAGGATCACAAAGAGTTGAACATAACTGAAGCAACTTATCATGCACGCACGCACTGAGTACTCTTCCAGTCTCACAAGGGCAGGAGTTGAGGAGTCTGTCCATAGAGATGATAGTAACTGACCAGCTATTCAGCCTATATTGGTGTCTTTATAACTATAAATAAAGGGACAAATGCAATACTAATTGGGGTTTCCATTAGATTTTGGAGGAGCATTGTTGCAATGTTTTTTAAATATCTATCTATTTATTTGGCTGCACCAGGTCTTAGTCACAGCATGCAGGATCTTTAGTTGCAGTATTCAAACTCTTCACTGTTGAATGTGGATCCAGTTCCCCGACCAGGGATCAAACCCAGGCCCCCTGCATTGGGAGCACAGAGTCTTAGCCACTGGACCACCAAGGAAGTTCTGAGCACTATTGCAACTTAATTCTTACTTTTCATTTATCCATCCATTTATTTGTTCAGCAAATTACTGAATTTCCACTGTATGCTCAGCTCTGTGTCAGGTGCTAGGAACACCATGACCAATAAAGAAGACACAGTCTCTTTCCCTGTGAGGGGAGGCAGGTACAGATTAGCTGAGAGATCCTGTACACAAAAAATTCACCCAGGGAGCTTGTTTAAAGCAAGACTCAGGGGCAGACTCTAGACTTCCTGAATCAGAATATTCAAGAGATAGCCCTGGGGAGATATGGTAGCAGTCAGTATGGCAATCACACTTGGAGAAATTCTTTTAAAAGTCTTGCATTCCATTAGAAGCATTTTTTGAGCCCTTAACCAAGCCCAGGCATGGTGTTACGTACTAGAAATGCAGACAAAAT